GACAGTCAAACACTGGGGACAGAGTGATGAATATGATAATGACAGCCACCGCCGGCATGAGAGCTTCATAGTAGTAGTGGATGATCTACATTAATCACAAAACACAAAGCAGGGCAAGATGATACCAAAACCACAGCATTCTGATTTCGCTACCAGCTCACAAAAGATCCTCTGGCTCAAAGGTTCACTCTGAAAAATGTGTTTTCTATACCCACAAGTTGAAATAAAAGGTAAAACTTTTTATCACCAGGGAAGTACTGTGTCCATCAATACATATGTACCTCGTTTTTTGTCTTTCACTTTCTCTAACTCTTAAGGTGCATCACCTGCATTTGAGAATAGACATGAGCAGGTCACCTATGCTGTGCTAAAGATGTAATTTTTTCCTATTAATGTAAATATTAAAAAAAAACCCTGTGTCTATTCTGAAAACACACAATCATATTTATTTGTGTGAAGGTAAAACCAGAGCCCCGTGTTCTGTTAATTTCAAAGAATAGCAAAAGTGATTTATATGTCTTAGAAATAACATAGAATTAAAGAGAGATTTCAGTAAGGTGAGAAACTTCATAGAGACAATCGCCAATGGAACGTCAAACCTTCTGTTCATTGTTACTTATCATTCTTTCTGAGCACATATAAATAAGTGGATTGAAAACTCAAGTTTGTTTTAAAAATAATATGATTTTTCAGAATGGACAGCACACCTGAAGTGGTTTCATAAGGTGAAATGTTGAGTCTGAATATAGTACCTGGCCTCCAAAAGAAGGAGGTGAAGGAAAACAAAACATGTCAAGTTTGCTGTCTGCAGAATGAGACAACTGTAAATTCTCTCAGGCGGTGAGGAAGAGAGGAGAGGAGGTGCTGCAGTCCACAAAGTGGGTCAAGAGCCACCTGCCAGGACTCTAGCCCCCACATCTTGATCCTTTCAACTCCTAACTGTTGAGGGACTCGGCCTTTCCTAGTAATAAGTGTCACCGTTCACCTTATATTCCATAACAAGCTACTAGTAACTGACTCCTGGAACAAATCCCAGGATTAGAATTATTATTCTGTGAAGAAGAATCAAATGCTGGCACCCAAAGTGTACTGTCTCTGAACAATCATGAATAAATTTTCCAGATAGACGATAAAATCCCAAATCTTCTCTAAGAATAACTGTCAACAGAGAGGCCAGTATCTGGGACATTTTTGAGCCTCCTGTGTTCTGTGCCCTGTAGTGTGGCCCTTGAGGGTAAAGCCGGTGTATACTAAGACATAGATGTCCTTGGAGAAAAAGTAACAAGGTCCCAGTAGAGGATGAATGAAAGTATTCTCTTGAATGTGACCTATTTGGATCTATCTACCATCCATCCATCTATCCACCCACCCATACAATCTATCATTCATCTATCCATTCATCCACCTATCTATCCTTCCACCCACCCACCCATCAATCCATCTTTTTGAGGAAGAGTCTTACCTTGTAGCCCCAGTTGGCCTGGAACTATCTATGTTGACCAGGCTGGCCTCAAACTCATGGTGATCCCTTGCCTCTGCCTCCTGAGTGCTGGGATTAAAGGCTTGTGCCTCCACGCCTAGCCACATATTTTCAAGCTTATGCTGTAGTTATAACCCCCCAAAGGGAGGAGGCTTTAATCCAGTTTTAAAAACCAAGTTAGTAGTTTGGACAAATACTGGAGGGATATGAGACTTTATAGAGTTTATAACTGCAACTTTAATTATGCTGTAAAAATTTCACTTACTCTGTCATATATTAAAACTATTGTTTTCTAGGAGAAGCTCTACATATCTTTCCAATTTAGAATGTTTTCAATGTAACATGATTACCATGTCCATGGCATCTTGTATCACTAATTCAAATATGCTCAGAAGCATCTTGCATGACAATGATGCTCTGAATTTTTTTTTTTAAATAAAAGCACATTTCTAAAACTTCCACAGAGATGTAACATGATATGGTTTTTATACTGCACGCAATGGAGCCCAGAGTCCTGTGAAGCCCTTCATGGACCACCACGAGGCAAGATGGAGGCAGAGGGGAGAGCCTCAGGGGCTTCTCTCCACCCTTCATGCTAACCAGAGCCCCTTGGCTATTATCAATTGTGTATCTTATAATTTAGCTGATGTTTTGTTTGGAAAATGGACTCTGCTCTAAAAAAAAAAAAAAGAAAAGAAAAGAAAAGCAAAAACCACTCTCACACTTTAAAAATGAACTGGCTTCCACTTTCAGTCTAGCACTACAGTCTAATGCTACTGGATTCCAACCACATAAGGAATACAGTGCACAATCAGCGTGTCTCAGCTGAAGAAGCCAAGATGGACGAACTATAAGGCCTTGGCAGCTATGTTTTAAGTCAGATGAAACACCGAAGGAACCGGTGGTCTCTCTTGTTCAGAGTGTCTCTCTAGGCTGTGTTCTAGGAGGGCAGTAACCACAGCTTCTGACTGCCAAACCCAGCTGATTTAACAGACAGACAGCAGAACCATCCTGCTCAGACTCACAATCCTGCTCAGACTCACACACATGAAAACCCCCGCAGTCCTCAAAGGAATGGGGCTGGCAGAGACACTTTCCAGAAAAAATTTAACTAAGGCACCTGGACTCTTGTGTTGTTTTGACCCAATTTTGCCTAGTCCCCCCCAAAGACAACTGTTCTCCTATAAGTGGCAAAATAATGTTTGGAGGGCCATTTCAACAGCTTCCTTCAGACTAAGAGAGTCCCTCCTCAAAGTCCCTCACTTGGGGAATCTGTGCAGGCTACAGTGATGTATTGGTCTCAGGGAGCTGTCCTCATTCGTGTAGCCACTCTGTGGTATAGTATACCCTAATCATTCAGTGAAAGTTGGTTAAGTGAATGCATGAAGGAGAACCTTATGTTAGGAGTAGGAAAGCATATAAAATCCTGTTTTTATTTGGAACAGCCTTGCTGAGGACGGGACTGTCTCCCTACACTTCTACATCTTAAGATTTCTCAACACTGGGCTTTCCCCCCCATTCTTTTACGAGGCAGTCTTTAGGAGGTTTCTGCATTTATATACTATTTAAGGAAAACAAAAACAAGTCCGCAGGGAACTTAAATTTTAATATAACTCACGATCGCCATCTGCTGGACAAAGATAGAATGTTAAAAGGTAGAAGTTTTAAATCAGAGATGTGTATCATCTAGGCATCATCCTCTTAAATAATATATAAGTATAAGGGGCATACAAGTGTGTAAAACAAGTTACCATCTCTAAAGTGATCACAGTGTCTTACGAAGACAGGAGACTGCCTTGAGTTTTACGTGGCATCTACAAGAGTCAGAGAAAAACCACTGCAGCTAGAACAAGATGTTCCTTAGTGTTACATAAAGGGAAGGGTGTGGGGAGTGTAGTGGTGTGTGTGGGTGAAGGGGAACTAGTCCTGGGAGGTCTTGGTACTAGCTGCCTCCCAACATAGGAAATACCTAGTTTCATGGCAGAGAGAAGAAAACATCAACCTCAACCACCTGCAGCCATGACCAGGGAGGTGGTCCACACCTCGGAGGCTCTCTGATCCCATGCTGCACCCCAGGAAAGACACTGGGGAAATCAGGTAACTGGGCAGTGAACTGAGTGGCAAGTCCAAGCTAGAGAGGGGACCTTGACTACACCAGAACATGGGGCTCTGGCTAATCCTCTCTTGAACTCTCTGACCTTGGTCTGGTGTCTTAGCCTCTCTGTCACCTGGATTTCTTCATCTGTAAGTAGGGACAATACTTAGTTTCTCAAAAGGATTAAACATGTTAGTAGACGAAAGAGCTACTATACTACGAGGCACAAAATAAGGGCTACACCAAATGCTTAATGTTGCTAATTAGGGACACACGAGTTCTTGCTAATGATATAGCAGCAATCACAGGATATCCGTCAGCCTGAACAGATTTCTCCTCCTCCTTCTTTCTTTCCTTCTTCTTCTTTTTTTTCTTTCTTTTTTTTAGACAGTTCTAGTTGTCCTGGAACTGGCTCTTCTGGCACCAGGCTGGCCTCTGCTTCCTAAGTGGTGGGATAGTGAGCAACACCCCTTCCTGGCTCAGACTTGATTTCTTTAGGTGTAAAATGAAACTATTTGACAGAAAGGGTGAAGGAACACAGTAAGTGGTTGCAGCCCAACAAGTGCAGGAGAACTGCCAGGATATTCACTATTGTGTTACGTGCGCACTGTTCATTATAAACCCACAAAGCTGTATTATTCCATATTACGTAAACATATTAATTATAAATGTACTAATTATGTCTGTCCTTGCATATTTATGTCTGTGTATTTCTCTCCGTGTGTATCTATGTGAAAATGTGTCTGTGCTGCATGTGTGTATGTTCCCATGTTTATGTTCGCATGTGTCTGTGTGTATGTCCCTATATGTGTGTCTGTGAGTGCACGTGTCCCAAGTCTTCAGAGATACAGAAGCACTGGCAGGGAGTGGCCAAATCATGGCACAAAACTGGGAAGACTGAAGCTCTATACACTACACCTAGCCCTTTGGCCCTTTCAGCAAGATTTTTAGACCATATTAAGATTCATCAATTTGTTGATCATGAGAATCAATAGTAAGTCTTATGAAAAAACAGCTGAATGGGAGTCAGAGTCACAGGTAGATAAGAAAAGAGAAAGCAGGCACCCTGGGATTGTGACTTCTCATTCCCAAAAAGCACTGTGAGGAGAATTTGAAGACACAAAGGACCACAAGGAGCAAGAAAGGACCCAGGAGCCCTATAGCACCCCCAAGCCAGCATCCATTTCAAGAATTTCAGCCTCAGGCCCTTCCCATACTGGAGGGTTAAGCTGCTTCTTTGCCTTTCTCTGTAGGTTTGCCTTCTGTCTTTCCTAGTGCATGACAGGAAATGAACTCAGCGACCCCCCCTAGACAACCATTAGTGACCTATCACACACATATCCTGCTCTGACTCTACTGGTCCCCTAACAAAGACTGAACACCTGCGGAAATGCGTTTTTCCTTAGGTGACAACTCGCCACGCACCTTTTCGATCAGCTCGTAGCTCTCCTCCAGCTTCAGCAGCCTGTTCTGCACCGAGGTGGATGCTCGTTGGTAGACAGCCCGCCACTCCTCGAAGTCACTCTCAGAGATCTCAGCCACAGCAAAACACAAAGTCCTCAGCCCTGTGAAAGGCAATGCGCCCCAGCACATTATAGAAGATTTAGTCACAAGTCTGATGTTTCCATTATTTAACAAAATCCAATTTTTGAGTGGTCTCACTGAATTCAGACAATTTGTTGACGTGTCAAGTTTATGACAAAAATCTCAATATCTAATGTCTGGAATGCTCTGCCAGCTTTTACATTTTATTCCTTGCTTACAGTTCCAAGACCTCTTTAACCCTTTCTCCCCATCTAGAGTGACTTTTCTAAAAGCCTCATCTTAGCAAGCTGTTCTTGTTTGAAATCCCCCAGCTGTTCCCCAGGATGAAGTACCAAACCTGGAGTATGGCTCACACTCTTCAACTGTCTCCCTGCATCCTCGCCACTCACTTCCTGTGACGTATGGGGTTCTCTATACTCAGTGCCCAGAACATCCATTGTACTTCCCTTACCCCAACACTGCTTCACTATCTGCAAGACAATTCTACCTCCTGAGAGAGGAGCAGAGTTACTGACCACTGGGCCACTTGGCAGAACTTAAACCTGTGAGCTGTATTAGAGCAGTTTTTCTTTCCCTCTTTCGGGAATGTTGGCTGGAAACTTACTGGGGGTGGGGGTAACATGGGAATAGAAGTATCCTTCAGCCCAAAGGCAGAAAGAATGGGGTCGTAGTGGGCGCCACGCCAATGCAAACGGGGGAACAAGAGCCTGTGTAACACTGTTACCAGACTGGATGTGTCCTAGACCCCAGATCTCCAACTCAAACCTGTCTGACCTGCAAGTTGGGCAGCTCAAACCTGGCACACCCAGCCGGGGGCTGTGTAGGTTTCTGAGCTCTTGCATTCTTGGGAACTTGGAGAACCTTTTGTCCTGATTCTTATTTTGGTCTAATGTTTTTAGAAAACATTCTTGTCTTTTCAGCCACCTGATTATGAAGAAACAAGGACTTGAGCAGGGGTGGGGCTAGCTGAGTGAGGGGTGAACATGGAGATGGGTGATTTAGACACTCCATGGATTCTGCAATCATCCCTCTTCCACTCATCTAATGCAGAACACCTCTTTAGATCCTACATTGCCTTGTACATCATTATGTATTTTAGAAGCACAGTTACGGGCTGATTTTATTTACCACAGACTCCTGGGCCTCACACACATGGTGGGGGTCAATAAAAAAAATATCAAGTTATAACAGTATAATAACTTTTTACATAATAATATAGGTATTTCTTTCTTTTTTATTATCCATATTACAGAAGCTGAGTTATTTTATTTTTCTTAACTAATTCCATGAGACACAAGCCAAATGGTATCCATTCTAAAAAGTAACAGATTTAAAGGTCTTACTACTTCATTTTAATAGTGTTTTGTGTTATTTTAAGGAAAAAATGTGTGGGGATAGTACATGGGAATATCCAAGCTTTCATCAATAATCAATGCCCCACCTAAGTACTCTGGAAGTAAAATTGTTAATGACCCTGCAAAATATCAAAAATCCATGATTTGTGTTTCTATATAATGCCCACCTTCCGTTGCAAACTGTTCTAAATGTTTTAGGGTGATTTCTTTGTACTTTGACGTCTCTGCGAGTCGTTCATAAATTACTGTGTCCTGGAAAATAAGCAGAAGGTACGGTGGATTAATTAAATATCCTGGATTTAATAAGACTTAGGTTAGTAACGTCGAGAATCTGAAAAACAGAAAACCTCCTGATGTTTTCTTTTAAGCACAGATTTTTTTTTTTGTCTATGAGTAACAATGACTCCCCAAAGACAGGAAAGAGTACAGCTGGACCTGTGGGTTTGCATCCATGGATTCAATCAATCACAGACAGAAAATGTAATCTGGCCTATGAGGTTGGATCTGCAGAGAACATGCACACACTTTTTCTTGGGATGATTCCATATAAACAGTATGGTAGTATTTTCCTCATAATGTTTGCAACACAGTAAGAATTGTAACTCATGGAAAATTTGTTGGAAACACAGAAAAGGAACTGGCCTGGTGGCCTCCATTTGTAGTCTTAGCATCCGGGAAGTGGGGGCACTGGGTGACTTGGAAACATACTGAAGAGAGCTATCTCTGCATTTAGCAGAGAATGTTCTCGAACTCAGGGAGTATTGGGAAGTGCTGGCCTGACAAAGAGCCTGTGCAATGCAGTTCCCCTGTGAGCTGAAGCCTGGGTGGCTACAGTGTGTACATAAAATGCATCCAGCCATAGAACCTTCCATGGACAAGAGCACTTTCATGGGCCTGTGCTCACAGAGTGACAAACTTGAGGCATCACTGGAATACCAAATGTCCTGAGATGTCTGGCGGGGACAGGATGAGGATCTACAATCCTGGAGCTGTCTCAAACAGCCAATGTCTCTGTGCCTGTCTAGCTTTAAAACTTGGTTGACTTAATTTGTAATTCCTGGATTAAAAACAATATCATCTCTTTGAAATTTTCATACAGCATGTTTTGATCCCATTTTAAAGTCCCGTTGGCTTTAGCTTTATGCACCATTTACCTTTTCTCTGCTCTTTTCTCCTTTATAAATTGCCTATTGTTCCCTCAGTTCTTTGCTGGCTTTGGTTTAATGTCTTAAAGAACTCCAGTATTCAGCCTTCATGACTTTTTATTAGACCAGGAAAAAATAAATCATTTACCTGCAATTACTCTCTCCATGGTAGTACCCACTGTGGGGTTTCTAGTCTCGGGCTGAGATCTGGAAGCTGACTAACAGAGTATGATTTACAGCCCTTGAGAGAAACACAACCAAGTGACCTCAGAGCAGATGGAATAGCCCAAGCCCCAATTACGGATTTCTTTTCATTTTCCAGTAGTGGGATGGGAAGGAAATGACAGTTGCCATCATGGCTCTTTCCTGGGAGGGACGAGAGTCATTTTGGAGTTCTTTTTTACAGTGGTTTCTGAAAATTTCCATGAGGTTAACGGAGGCCATTTTCAGAGGAAGAAATCTTTTTAAAAAACTTGAAAAATGCAAGTGGTAGGTGAAAGAGGAGGGAGGTTGAATTCTGCAGTGTATCTAAGCATACTGGTGCTTGGAAGAACCAATTAATTGTCTACGTTCTTTGTGGTATTGAGAAGAGCAAGGGAGGGAATGTGGCCTTCTGCAGCAAATGTAGGCTTTCAAATGACAGTCACAGTGATTGATCACATTTGCAAATGATGAGTAAAATACTTAGGAGATTCTTTTGGGGGCAAAAAGCCCTCACATAATTTAGAGGACTACACTAAGGGTCTGCCACATTTTTGGAGTGAAAAAAATTCTCCACAGACACTACAAGAGGTATATACCATCAGGTCAGACTCAGAATATATGGAAAGATCCTCAGGGGATTTGGTTATCTTGTACCCTGGCCCTCAGTAAGGAAAAGCTAGAAAACCAAGGTGACCAGATATTATTGGGGACGGACGGCATGGCACAGCCAAATTACTGTTTCTGTGGATGAGCCCAGCGCTTTAAGGAAAGTTAAACCCATGGTTGATCATTCCTTTTTTGGTGAATGTTCATTGAAAAAAAATGTTTTCCTTTTGCTTGTTGGAGACAGGGTCTCACATAGTTCAGGCAGGCTTTGAATTTAGGTATGGTCTGTTTTGGATATAACAGAATTTTAAGAGACATTCACTTTGAAATCTTCAGTCTCATTAAGATTCCTGTAGGATCAAGCGTGTCAGTCAAGTTTCTCAAGTCTTCCTGTGCTTTAGAGTAAACTTCTTGAATGACCTGAAGTTTTATTTGAGCAAATGGTACTTTTCTCTAAAAGGCTACGATTGCAGAAACAAACTGTAAACGAATATGCTTCCATTTTCAATTTAAAAATTAACAAAGCAAGGCATCTTCCTTACAGAAACTCTTAAAAAGCTGGAAATATAAATCACATGCCAACTCAAGCACTAATTCTTTTTATTGTATGTTACATGGAACTTTCAGTAGTTTTTCTAATTTATTAATTTTATTCTCACCCCAATTGTGTCTAATCCAGAGCTTACTTCATTTACTGTTTTTAAACTGTTTTAAAAACTGCATAGGATTTCTGATTCACCTGGCATGTCCACTAGACCCTCTTCTCTGTGTCTTCTTGAGTGCAAACAGCCGGAACTTCTTTATTTACCATGCTGAGCTTCCAAATACCCAGAGGCAGAGTGGTCTACACAGATGGTCTAATCTGGAGTGAATCCATGTTTCTCTGGTTATGGTGCTCTGGATCCTCTGGTATGAGATTTCCACACATATCCCTGGCTCCGTATTTTCTTGTATGCATGCCAACCTCATGGTTTTATAGCCTTAGCAGGGGTTGGCATGAGTTTTCCTCAGCCCCTTTACATGATTAGAAAGCTCTTGGCCTCAGAGCTGGCTTGCACCTGAATTCCCTAATTGGACTTAAGGCCAGCTCAATAGGAGGGAAATCATGCCTGGTACTAGAAACGCAGCCAACTCCCTGGCATTAGCAATGTTATAGATCTTAGAAGAGAACCTACTACTACCACAGTTCCTAACTACATTTTAAAACTCACATCTATACCAAGAGTTAAGTGTGGCTCTCACCTCACACTAAAGAAACTTCTTGTAGCAAACAGAGACCATTACATAAAACCACAACTAACTGATTGTGGGGAGCCCAGCCAGCCATAGTAGATACATTTACGACACAACATCTGTACCTAAGGTTCAGAGAATATCATTGACAAGATGGTTAGAAAGATAAGGAAGTCTGTTGTCAGACTGTGTCTCCCAGGAATGATGGGGACGATAGACATTGAGGGGTGAAACACTATGACCACAGCAACTCTTATAAAGGAAAAAATTTAATTGGGAATGCCTTATAGTTTGAGGTTTGGTCCATTAATGTCATGGCAGGAAGCATGGTGGCACGCAGGCAGACTTGGTGCTGGAGGGGAGCTGAGAGTTCTACATTTGGATCCTACATAGGAAATAGGAAAGCAGAGTGAACCCCTGGGCCTAGGTTGAGCTTCTGAAACCTCAAAGCTCATCCCCAATGAGACACTTCCTCCAACAAAGCCACACCTACTCCAACAAGGCCATATCTCCTAGTAGTGCCGCTCCCTATGAATCTATGTGGGCCATTTTCATTCCAACTACCACAGGCTCCACCCACAGGCAATGAACTACATGCAGCCAGGAATATGGAGAGAAGAACTGGTCCTTTTTTTTTTTTTTTCAGGGCATCTGTGTGAATGTATGTCACATGGTACAGGTGTCCCTAGAGGCTGGAAGAGCCTCTGGGTCCCCTGATGCTGTGTGAGTGCTAGGAACCAAACTCACATTCTCTGGAAGCTAAACAAGAACTTTTAACAGCTGGCTCATTCTTTCAGATTCTTTTACTCCAGCTTCTTTCCTGGGAAATCCAGGCTTCGGCACCTGATAGCCCTGTGTAACTCCCAGCTCTCTATCTTGGTAAAGTGGTTAGCCCACTTGGAAGCCAAGTAGAAATCCCCAAATGATCCCTGATAATCCTTTCCTTCAGCACCTGCAAACATCAATTACCAAGCCTTAAATCTTCCTTCTCAGTCATCTTCTCTGTGCCTATCTCCATCCATTCCTGGCAGTTCTTGCCTGGAAGACATGATAAGGCTCAACCGGAACCTCTGATTGCATCTGTCTGCAGCCCTCAAATCATCTCCCCCAATATCATGGAAATGATCAAGAAGAGAATACCTGCATAGCAATGGGGGCAAACCCAACCCAACTCCTCACCCAAACCTGAGCCATACAAACCCTTCTGCTTGGCCCATATTCAGCTATTCCATGTAGTTCTGCAAACTACAGTTCTCAAACAGTCCTTGCTGTTTTCCTACTTATCTCTGTTCTAGAGGGAAATGTTTCAATATGGATGATAATATGTGCAAACAATCTCTGTGGTTAAAAAAGGAAATCCAATGTTTCTATTTTCTATCCAATGCTTTAATACCTCCAATAAACATTTGTAGATAGAATGTTCAAAATTTTAAAAAAGAAAGATGTAGTTTGGGTGTTGTAAACCAGACGGATACCAACCAGTGAATTGGGGGGGGGGGAGGGTCTTAGTTTCCTTTTATTCTCTTACTGTGCATGTTGTCATGGGAACATGGATAGTCTATACCACGTGACTTAACACCACATTCTAATCATCTTTGTATGTGCTTCCCTGGCTAGACTTAAGCTCCTGACATGACTTAGTTCTTATCGTCACATCTCTAAAATCCAGTTCAAAGCCTGGTGATAAAACATTCATGATGAACACATTTGGCATTTTAATCAATGGGAACACAAGAACCAAATTCAGAAGACATCATGAAATAATTCTACCAAAGTGCCTTAAAAACAGCGGCATTCAAAAATTGTGTTTTGGTGCTTTAAAACCAAGGCATTTAACTTTCTCAACAGAAATTTAAACAAGAGGTTTGCCTTTCTTAAGTTTAGTTTCCCAGTTTCCCTGGAACAAAGAACACTCATTGAGTTAATTTAAAATTGTGCAGTTCCAAGCTGAAATGTACAAAGGGCTTATCAGGCAAAGGGCACCTCAGGAGGAAAATCCTGACTGACCATAGCAACGAATGGCCTGGTTTGTAGGGTTCTTATTTTTTTCCATGAGTATAAATATGCTTTAACTGGGAAAATTCAGTTGTAATACACAATACTGTATCTGCCAATATAATGCACTTACATACTATAGCCAACCAACAACGGGCAATCCTATAGTATTTAAAGCAAGACAAACAAGCAATACCAAATGAGAAACCACAGCAATAATTGTAAGCCAGCCCTCTCCCTATTTCTACGGTCTTTAGGCAAGTAAAATTGGAGTGTGCCATCAATTCTAATACAATTCAAAAATATTTTCTGTATTTAGTCATCTGCTAACATAGCTAATATAACACAAGCCTCAAATATCATGTATTAAAAATTGAATTACAAAAGAAACCCATGCCAGACTTTTTCAATGCGCCAATTTACTCAGAAAGAATTCCGCATCTCGCCAGAAGAGGCCGAATTCTGTTACTATAAAACACCAACAAAAGTGGATGTCATCAACTTCATGTTAAACATCTGTGTTCCATTTCCATAGCAGGATGCCTAACACGTACATTATAAACCGCCATAAATCAAAAATGTAAAAGGCAAAAAAAAAAAAACCAAACCCAAAACTTACAGCTCCTTTGCAGTAAAGCCGTAACTTCCCGGACGGAGTGCGAACCACCACCGACATTCTTTTCCTAGCGCTGAAATAGAGAGATTTTCCGTAATGGGTCATTATACTGAAGATCTATATAGACATGTTTCGTTGTGCTTCGGATATTTTAATGCTCACAGTGACAAAATTAACCTGACCAATTTACAAGCCATATTCTTTCATTTATACACATTGTCTCCTGATGGGGCCGCTGGGTGCCTCGGAGAGTTATGTTATATTTTTGAAGTCACTAGAGTACATCTACTATCCTAAAGGAATAAACAAAACACCTGTAATACCTACCAGAGTAGAATCATGTTTAATATGTTAATATTTGAAAACTATTTGAACTAGGATCCTGTTATATGGTATATTTAAAAATTAGACATGAAACTTAAACTTTTAAATATAAAATACAGATAAAGTACTTTTAAGAAGCAATATAAACATTTATTATTGCTTAAGTGATTACAGCAGGCTCCTTACTGAGAGGGGTACAGTCCAAGACCCCCAGCAGATGCCAAAGACTGGAACAGTATCAACCCAATAATGCATTTTCCTGTACATGACAATGTTTAATTGGTTAGAGTAAGCAATTAATGATAGCAACTAAAAGAACAATTATAACAATATACCTTAGCAAAAAGTACTTGAAACTTAGGAATTGTTTGCTTCTAGAATTTTCCATCAGATATTTTTAGAGTATGGTTGGCCATGGGGAAGTGAAACCTCAGCCAGTGTGGAAACACCATACTTTATGAACACAGTAAACTGGTTTCACCTACACACATTAACTCAGTCCTTCTTGAGTCTTGCCATTCTTAGTCTAGCTCTGATTTAATGGTCCCTGATTCATCAATTTACTTCTTCTGGCAAGATCTCTAAGTGTGACTGGAAACCCTCATCTGAGATCCATCAGAGTAAAATGGCCATTGCAGAGAAAAGTCACTGAGTCACAGATGAATGCTAAAGCACAAGGCAGAGGTGCTGCATACTGACCGGGTACATTTCATCCCTCTGCGAAGCTGGCTCCCTCACCCCTGCAGGGCCTCAACACACATCCTCCACTCTCCAAGTCCTTCCGGGCTTCCTTCCTGCTCTAGACTCTGAATTTTGGGGGCTCACCTTGAATCCTCCCCTTACATTTTGCAGCCTACATATCTGGCTCTGTGTGCTCCCTACTCCGTTGTATTTTCTTGACACGAGGGAGAAATACTTCTGCCTTTATAACTCAACTCTGGGTGAAGTGTGTCCATACACAGGCTCTGCCCACTTCCCTCCACTCCCACCTTTCCACCGTTCCAATGAATACTTCCCCTTAGCTATGTTGGCAGCTGCCTCTGAAAAGACACTCACTCTCCTGGAGATTTCTCTTAGCTCTGGACTATTTATCAGTCTACTTTTGTCCTCTGTCTCATTAACAATAAAGGCTTTGTTTTATTGAATCCCGCCCTCCCAACTCTCTTGCACTCTCACCAAGCACTCTCACTGACTTCAGTGAGTCCACACAGTCCATTTCTTATTTCAAGGCAAGTTCTAAGTATGTGGCCTGAGATGCCCTTAAACTTAGTCTGTAGCCCAGGGAAGCTTTGAACTTGTGATCCTCTTGTTTTTGTCTCCAATGTAGCCTGTACTACAAGATTTGGCTCATTCTTTTGTAACCAATCCTTAATAGTTAGAATTATTTATAACTAGTGGCTCAATCATCAGCCGTCCACTTTCCCCTTGATCTGTATTTTATCTTTAGAAGATTCAATTGACTTTTAAGCTCTAATGAATGGGCATTTCAGCCATAACTTTGACTCTATGTTTCTGGCTCTTATATCCAACTCCCTACTGGGCACTTCCATATGTACATCTCACAGACATCTAAAGGGTAACATTCCCAAACATCTTATCTACTACATCTGCTCCTATTCCTATGTCTGCTACCCACATACAGGGAATTTCTATATACTCAGCTGTTTGAGCTAAGATCCTAGCCCTTCCCTTCCTTCTCTTTGTTCCTGCCCCACCCATCCAATCTATAGCCATTTTCCACTGACGTTCCTCAAATAGGTATAGAAAGCCCATGGGCTTTTCTTCAGTCTCACCCCCGTTATCCTGACCCAAACTTCTAACACATGCACAGAGACTATTTGACAGCATCACATTCCTTTCCTTTTCCACTCTTAAGCCTACCCTCACTACAGAATCAAAGACCTGAAAGTCCTATTTTTGATTTATTTTTCTCCACAGTACTTTTCATAAGCATAGAGTGTCCAAAAAAGAGAAACACATCTATATGCTAATTTATATCCTGCTTATATTACCTACAACACAAACAGGGCTGGGAAAAAGCACTTTATCATGAAGACAGAGATGAGTGATGTATGTAGGAATATTCTATCCCACGCAGTTACTTAACTTCTTCCTTTGAGCAGACCCTGTTATTTGGTCATGTGGTCACTCCAGATCGAGAGAGCAACCAAAGTTAGCATACCAAAGGAAGTGTCTCTCCCAGGCACTGTGTAAATCTGCTTATGTAGGAGAAATCTCAGGAAAACAGGTGTGCATTTCTTTACTCTAACAAAGCGTTGTCTTCGATTTTGAAGTGTCCTTTGGGTTGTAGCACACTTCTTAAAGACACCGTAGTAAGACCAATTTGTCCCAAGAACATAGGGTGTCTGGACAACAATGCATAATGGAAGTACGACTAGAGTGGTATAGCTGAAGGCCTTTGCTCTAGCTGGAATGTAAAGACATCCCCATAAGCTCCCATATTTGATTCTTGGTCTCTCATTGGAAAACTATTTTATGAAGTTCTGAGAACTTTAGGAGATGAGGCCTATTTGTCTGAAAGGTGTTAATGGTGGAGAGGTCTTCAGGATTATGGCTTAGCCTTCTTGTAGAGATTTATCAAGACCTGCCACGAGCTCTTTCCACCATGCCTGGAGCTCCAGGCACTTTGCTCTCTGGCCATGATGGATTGTATCCTTTAAAAACATGAGCCAACATAATCTTTCTTTCTTTATGTTGCTTCTGGCAGAATCTTGTTCCAGTGATTAACACAGCCAACATCATTTCTCTTTAAGAAAGGAGTGAGTGGAACACTCATTTTGCTTTCTGTTCCTTCCTACTAGATGGTAACTCTTGCTCTACAAAGACAAGTGGACCTAAGGAACATACAGTTATAATGGAGGCTTCCTAACTCTTACTAATTTTATTCCACATAAATCTTGTTGCCTCTGAATATGTTTTTAGGTCTTTAGATGCTATAGTTTGGACCTGAAATCTACCCCCAAAGGCCCATGTGTGGAGGATAGATCCCAGAGAGATGCTATTAGGAGGTGGGAACCTTTAAAGGGCTGAGGGGTCTTTGGGCATTGTGGGTATGCCTTGAGGGGGACTGTGAAACCAGAGTCCACTTTCCTGTTCTCTTTTGAGGTTTTTAAGTGTCTCATGAGTGCTAATGCAACCTCTGAAGACTCCATGGTAGGCCCATCAGGCCACGAGGGGAGTAGATTTACTCTATGTTCCTGCCTCATGTGTGACCTCACCACAGGTCCAAAGTAGCCAGGCTCATTGACCATGGAGTGCAATCCCCAAAATGTGTCCAAATAAACTTATCATCAGAAGGTGATTATTTCAAGCACTCATTATTATGTCGAAAAGCTAGCTAACATGCCAGCCACGGGACTCTTAGTCCTATCTTGCAGGTGTGAATGAGGTGATTGCATTTCAAGAAGAACTTTCAAGCTGCCAGCAGAAGTCACAGAGTACCACCCCAAAGAAAACTGTGTTTTACTAACAGGACACCTAAACCACATGAAAGTTCTTAAGATTTTGCTTAAGTACATAAATAAAAGTAAAGAATATATTCCAGCTATATACAGGAAAAACAAACAAACAAAAATGGATGAAAATGTATTTTCCCCTTCACAAATTACAAAGCAGGCGTTTTTACCTGGTGAACTCCAGGACATTGAGCAACTCATATCTTTCTTCCTGCCCCAGCTGCAGAATAAAAGAATTAGAAATAGTTTAGATTTCTTGGAAATAATCACTGGGCATAAAATTTTATTGCAAAATGTCAATACAAACATAGTTTCCCTTCTTCCCTCTGAATGATGGAAGAGAATTTACTAAACTTTCAGGTTAATGAATAAATAGTGAGGGCTCAGAAGCATTCCAAGTGTCACAGAAGCAGGCCAGAGAACACCTGAGGCCCTGATGGAGGCTGTGTGACAACAGACACACTGTGCTGAGGTTACTAGCTAAGAAGTCAGAGAAAGAAAATGGAACAAGAAAAAAAAATTATTTTTAGGAGATAATGGAAAAATAAAATTTTAAGAAAAAACATTTGAGTTAAGAAAGAGTTTAATAAAAAGGTACTATGTACAAAGACACTTAGCTATGAATACATATACAGGTATAATAGAAACACTAATAATTTTTAAAAGTAGATATAATTTATATGAAATAAAACACGGAGCTCTTCAATGCAAACTGTATAGTTTGATAAAGGTGCCGCCTGTGTAAACACGACCCTGTTGGAGATGCAAAACATCTGACCCATAATGAATTCCCTTGATCCATTTCCAGTCAATCTTCACCCTGCCCCAAGGCAATGGCTGTTCAAGATTCTATCATTATAAATCACTTCTGCAGTTTCCAGCTGCATACAGATGGAGTTATAAGGATGCTTTCCCTCGTGCCTGGCATTTCTCCCTCCTCAATACAGAGTTTCTGTGATTTATCCACACTACTAAAGAATCAATAATTCACTATTTTTCATGTTTAGATTGTCGGATGGATCACAACCTGTTCTTCCTCTCCCGATGATATGCAATCTGTTGTTTCCAGTTTGCAGAACTCTGAACATAGCCACCATGAACACTCCATTATAAGTCTTTTGGTGGACACAAACTTCCTTTTCTCCTGAGTAACTGAGAACAGATTATAGATGCTGGATCAAGGCAGGCTTTCCTTTATTAGAACCCACTAACATTTGTTTCCATCAATATTTTTAAAAATTTTAGTCTTCACGATGGGTACATAATAGTATTTCACTATGGTTTTGCACCTTGATGACTAGCCATGGTCTGTCATGTAGCTATTCGAGTATCAACTGCTGTGACATATCTATTCAAAGCTTCCCACTTAAAAGCAGATCATGAAGAATTCCCTTTTTTATTGTTGTTAGCTGTTTTGAGACAGTCTCATGTAGTCCAGGCTGCCTTCAAACTCACTATGTAGCTCATGCTGGCTCTGAACTCCAGATCATCCCATCTCCTACCTCCCATACACTGTGATAACAGGCCTGTTATGCACTATGTCCAGCCTTCTGGATACTTACATAGCTAAATATTTAATAATGTCTGGAATCTAGAGAAGAAGCAAATGGGAAGATGATTCAAGGGAGATAAACCTCCATTTAGCAGAACAGAAAATCGGTAGATAGGTCTACTTTTGAAGAATCAATGTTGCCTATCAAGCATATTATCAGCCACAATTTTGTTAAAGTGTTGAAAGAACTAGACGAAAGGATGGACAGTGGTGCCCTTGTATGGGAAACTTTGGTCTCACTGTGATCTTTTCCTTACTGCCTTTATCTCTGAGGCTGCATCAATGCATTACTGTAGGCTTTAAAAAGCCCTTAACGTACAAGTGACTTACCGAATCTATGATGACTGAGTCAGGAGTTCTTCCAGTGAAGACAAAATTCAACTGCTTGGCCGCTCTGACCAGTGCTCCCTCATCTGTGGCAGGGGAACAGGTGAAAGAGATAGCGGGCAGGAAAATATAAGCAAATGTAAGGGAAAGACACTGGGGCACAATGCAGTTTTCTGCTCTACTAGAATTCTTTTCATTATGCTCTGAAATCAATTCCTTTTTGTGTATATGATGATGGTAGAGGAGTGAGAACAACTTTAGCATCACGTTCCTGAGCACCAAAAGGGCTCCTTAGTCCGCATATGCCTGAGAACACCTTCCTCCAGACACGTGGCAGAGAGTCCTTTAAATGGTTGAAGGTTCATTCCAGTGCCTGAGGATCTGAATCGCTTAAAGTGAACAGGCTTAGTTTATGCCTGTGGCTTTCCTCACCGTGTAACCAAGCCCTGTCACTGCTGAGAGGGGCAACATGCACACATGCACGCATGCACACATGCACGTGCTATCTGAAGAAGCAATATTTCTTACACTGATTTAGGAATTTGATGCATTTTACAAGTCATAACCACTAGTTTATAATATGGTTTCAAAATACAAAGTACATCATTTCCCTAAAAGTTTTGATTATTTACTTAATTTTATCTTGGAAATAAGTCTAAAATCAAGCCTAAATAGTAAGCATTGGTAACTAGTACATATTTCATGGAATATCCCAAAGTACAAGATACTTTCCTCACTTAAGTGAATACAGAAAAGGTAACCCACCATTTCCTAAAGAGAGGGACAGAATTATGTTCTAAAACCAAGCACATCAATTTTATTAGGCAAACAAATCTCATCTGTCTATGTGTAAAACCCATTATGCAAGAGTTTATGCTTATTTATAAGGGGGACAGTTACATGTCTACAAATACTTTTATTCCCTTAATTTTATACACACACACACAATCCTGAAGGCCAAATTTGTAATTAGGAATCAATTTTCTTTAAACTAAAATCATAAGTTGGTTATGTTCCATTTTTAAATTAAATTGAAAATTTAAGTTTCATAATACTAAATTTCAGAACAACTTTCTACAGAAAAGTACTCCACAGTTGCTTGCCCCGTACCTGGAGATGCTGCCTGGTAGAGGATCTTTTCACCTTCTCTCTCCGGTACAGCTGTGTGGCAGACTGCCATCATTGTGAGAAATTCACAAATGATAGGTGCGGTAGGCTGTGGGGAATAAACACATAATTCATCCCTTTCATTTAGACATTTGACACTAACTGCAGTAATGTTACTTCATGACCATTTATTAAGAGCACAGCTGGGAAGCATTGGGGATGTGGGATTACAGCCAACATTTATTATGAAGAAAACCTATTTAGAACTCAATTTATTCATTCTTGTACTTCCTCATTCATTCTGTAAACATTTATTTAACATGATTTTGTGCTCTTAAACAGAAATGGTAGAAAAAGATGATGAAGTGGACAGAAGAGATATTCTAAAATGTTCGTTTGTGATTTCTAGTCAGATTGAAATTCCATGCATCTAAACTTTGGGTGATAATGTGTGCATTTGTCTGTAATTCCGTCTTCTTCCCTTTCTCCAATTTATCATCTATATCTATCTATCCATCTATTCATCTACTTACCATCCATCCATGTACCTACTATCTACCTACAATCTATCTACTTATTATCTTCTATCTACCTACTATCTGTTATCTATCTATAATCTATCAATCTAAAACAAATAAGCAATTATTGAGCACTGTCAACTCTTGAAATTTGAGGGAGACTGAAGCATGAATCCTTTCTGTAATTATCTCAGATCTGATGAGAAAAGAGCCTAGATACAAAATAGCAAACATCTTCCTGTCTGACTTTTAGAGGGAAATGTTATTCAAATTAATAAAGAAAACTTAATGTATGTCATGTTCGTATAGCCTCCAAAATAAAGCAAACCAATTGAAAAGGTGAAATTGGGTTGTGGAAACAAAAACTGCTTATACTAAGAGAATGGACAAAACACATGTGACCAAGAAATGAAGCTTAGAGTTTTGAAGACAGAGCAAACCTAAGTGGCTGCACTGTTAATTTACAGCATATAAGGACTGTAAGGAGAACATGCAAATGTCTATGAGGTGACAGGAGATGGTGGTTGTTCATGAAATATGGAGGTAGATACATGGATGAACTCTGAACCTCATGAAGAACTGAGAACAGAGAATTCCACTGGGAAAGATGGCATGTAACTGAAAATGTCTAAGGCGGTGAGATTGAAATGTCTGAAAAAATAAACAAAAGACCATGGTGACCTCTGCAGGGAGAAAGAAAAAGTGGCTCAAGGTAGAGTGGTGATGTAGGTTGGGGCCAGATCAGGACAGGCTGTGAGGAAAGAGGAAAGCCAGGGTGGTGATGTGACTTGAGTCCAGGGTAGTATTCCATAGGTGAAGACACAAACCAGGAGCTGGGTGGGAAGCTGAAAAGCACTACACACAGGGCTATGGCTGTCTGGACAGGGGAAATGTAGGGGAGTTAATTGTCATAGATACTCTGGCTATGCCATAAGTCAGGATGGGTAGGTGATGCTCTTACCAACACAGTTAAAACTATGACACCAAAAGGAGAAGAGAGGCATCCTCTAACACTATAAGCAAGAAGAGATTCTGGCTGATGATACAGCACCTTGTGTTTCAGTTTAATTTCATTTTTGCTGTTTTTTTTTTTTAAAGAACGCCCACTGACATTTAGATATTTTATATTGCTCAACTAGGTTAGATTGTTCCATTTCTGCATCATTCTATTGTGTTCTACTTCTCATATCCACAACCCTCTCATTACTACTTCCATTTTTCTCCCCACTCTGTCCTCTATTTACTTTCCAATATCCCTCTGGCTTTAATAATATATAAATTCTATTTACTCTTAACAGTATCCTCATTCCCCTTCCTATTTAGGGAGAGCATATAAAATAGGCTCAATAAAACCATAGCAAAAAATTCTCCAAATCTACGGAAAGATATAAGCATCCTGACATAAGAGACATTTAGAACATTGGTACACATAAGATAAAATAAATCTAAAAAAAGGTCATGCAAATAAAAACAAACAAACAAACAAAAACCAAACAAACATGAAGGGCAGCTGAGAAACTCTCGAGTGCTCATCTATTGGGGACAGACAATGTCCTGATGACACTCACATGGTTATTCTGGAGATTTTCCAGCAATGATGGGTCACTAAATGTTTTTTCATCTCCAAACTGTGAGCTCTGCCTAAAGGGGGGAAAAAAAAATAAAGCAACGTTGGTTCGTTTATACAGACAGGCCAACTCATTTACTTCTAACTAATGATGAATGATTGCCCTCAATGAATTCAAATAATTAATTTTATGACTATCATGTTGTTGTTTTTTTAAAAGAAGATTCTGAGTATTAATGAGGTTCTAAAATTATGTTTTTACTTTATGTGCAATGACAATTACAAATGATCACATAAAATATATAAATGTGAACAATAAAATATTTACATAGTTTGTCAACATTTTATAAATACGTGTAAAAACATTTCTGAGTATATCATATGATGCTGTACAGACAGGGAAATAATCATGAATGTATCTGGGATTTGCACTGTGGCTGGCTCTTTACGTCATGTAACCTGTGTCAAACAAGTATGACCTGTGTCAACTTTCTAATCTATTATTAATCTTATGACCATGCATTTAAGAAAATCAAACCAAAAAAAGGAGCATGTAAGTACTTGAAATACTTGAAAGAATCAATCTTTGAAGTGCACCTTGAAAATATAGACATAAACTTTTTTTTTCTGTGCAAACATCTCAGAATTGACTGAGGAAAAACTCCAACAAAGAAGTAACCATAATCTTAGAAGTTTTTAATCACAATTTAATTTTAAGTTACAGAGTTTTGACAATGCTAATGTGTCAAGTTTTACATCTTTAAACCACAGTTTGAAAGGGCAGGATCACTGAAGAAAGAAGAACATAATATGACCAGTACCCTCCCCCAAATTGATGATGTAAAATCGATGAGCGCTTGTAATATTATACAGTTTCCTTTTTTTAAATACCAGTGTTTGGCTGGTTAATTATCAATATTATCAACGATATCTTTAATAGCAGGTTGTAGTTAAGGATTCTCAAAATTATCATTGGTATTACTGGTTTAGTATTAAGTATGGGAATCCAGTAACTTTTAAATGACTTATCAGTGGGTGGGTAGAAAAACAAACACTCTAATCGAGAATCACACCCCTAGACCCGCCTGAAACAGAGTACCAGGTGATCCTACATTCAAAACAGCTGGACAAAGCAGCCAGGATTTCTGCATCTTCTTAGAATCCCCCATGACAGCACCCCTTACCAGCAGGAAGTAGTTTGGAAAGAACAACGCCCAAATTCCCAAAGATTTTCTATAAATGTTTGTTTTCATTTAAATGGAATTGGTTATATAAAAATAAATAAATACATAAAAAACAAAGAAAAACAAACACATTTCTCCTATAAGCATTATCATTTATAAAGAATAGTTTTACTATTAGGCTGATAAGACAGCTCAGTGTGAAAAGGCACTTGATGGCAAACCTGATGACCTGAGTTTGGTCCCTGAAACTCTCAGGTGTAAGGCAAGAACTGATTTTACAGACTATCCTCTGACCTTCGTATGTACACAATGGCACACACACCTCTTTCCAAAGAATGAATAAATGCAGTAAAAATAAAAGTAAACATTTATTACTTGTGATTTTATAAAATATTATATGTTTTATATAATATATAAACTATACAATATGTAAAATATTATAAAATATTAAAATGTATCCATTGCTTCACAGCTCTATTTTTATTTGTTGGGGAGGCTAAAACATGAGGGAATGTTCATAGTCATGTCTCGAGATTTGAATACATTTTCTTTCCAAGGGTTACAAATAAAAGTCTTCTTAAATCTTATGTGTCTTATTACTCTTACCAAGAACTCATTCATTTAAAAAAAACTCAGTTGCTGTTAGTAATGCAACTTCTATAAAGTATTTAAATAACTTTTGATGTGTGACTGAAATACTTACACAGACAGACCCCATTCTGCGGTCCTTGACTAATTCTGTAACATTAAATAAGAACTCCCTTCTATCAAGTGGCTTCCATGGGAAACCACAGGCAACTCATTCTCTTGCAACATAGCTTGACTAGGATGATTCAGGCACAGAGTCATCACTACACCCCTTAATCTTACAAAATTTCTATTTTTGGTAAAAAGAAAAAATAAGCAAAAAATTATGAAGCTTACATTATTTAAAAATAAGAACTATGCCAAGCATATAAATATTCAAAACTATAGGAATTATACATTGCCTGCATATAAAAATGTAAGCCAACATCAACATATCACATCTTCTTTCCCCCCTTAGAAAATTTCAAGTGGTACTTTGCTCATAAAGAGACAAAAACATGGTGGCAAAGACAGACAAGCAGGGTGTGGACCAGCTAAGAGAAAGCATGGCTAGCTCCCGGCATCATAGGTAGCTTCTTGTAGCTTAAAGCCACACAACATTGTAAGTAATTATTTATTAATTAGACAAAAATGAAGAGAAAACTCAGAAGGTACCCAGCCTAATCAATAATGCTTCTGTTTTAATCATAGCATAGACTATGATCTGCTTATTTACTTACTATTATTTGTTTGCAGTACTGCAGCCTGCTATGCTAGGCAAGAGTGTACCAATGAGCTATAACATCACTACCTTGACTACAGATATTTTTAAAAATTTTAAAACTCAACTCAAACTGAAACAATCAGAAAATAAAAAAGAAAACAGAATAAGGTCAAGCTGCAGTCTCCATCTTAATCCTGCACAGTTTGTTAAAAAGCACTTATGGGAGATGCCTAGGTTTCCTGTGTCAGTCAGAAAACAAATCACACAGATATTAATAAATAGAGCTGATTGTGCAATGACAATTATTTCCTCAGAAAAAAAAAATGAAGGGAAATCAAAAGCTGCAGAACAAATTGGGAAAAAAAAATCTTATTTATCCGATCTGGAGATCAGATTTATTCCTCATGGAGAAAATAAAACAAGATCAACAGTGACACAGAACACCAGGCAAGAAGACGAAACCCACAACTCATGGAGAAGGAAACATCAGTGGCCCTGATCGGATATTCACTCTAGCCTCATAACAAGATAAACATCAATTTGACAAAAACAAAGTTTGTCAACTCTGTGCTGTTAGAATTGTGGAAAAAGAAAGAAATAGCAATTTTTAAATGGAAATTGGTCCATACAGTTTCTAAAAGGCAACCGGAGATAATGTGTGGTGACACCTTAGCTCTAGGGAGGCTGAGGCAGGAGGATTGTAACTTTGAGGCTAGCCAAAAAAGAGTAAACTATATGTCCTTTGATCTAGTAACTCCTGTTCTAGGAATAATTATTTACTTGCTATGAAATGTTGCATGTAGAAACATTTTTATTTTAATTATTTATTTTTTATTTTCCATGTCGATCCCAGTTCCCCCTCCCTCCCTCCCTCACTTTACCCTCTCTGCCCTCTCACACGCACCCTGACCACCCTCCCCTCCCCTCCCCCCACCCCAATTCCACATGTAGGGCAATGCCATCCAGATGGGGTCATGTAAATCTGTCAAGTCATTTGAAGTAGGGACTAGGACTTCTCTCCTGTCTACGAAGAAACATTTTTTTTTTTTTTTTTTTTTTTGTGCAGTACATTTTCAATGTTCAAATATTGTTACAGGGGAAAATGGGGTCTCTCCTCTGGAGTCTTATCCTTGTTAATAAAATAATTTAGGTCTAGACTCAGAAGAAACCTTGAGGAAATTTTATTAGTGTCAAACAAACAAACCCCAGGGCAGCGAGCTATATCTGTGTACACCCCCAGAAGAATAAGATGGAAAAGGGAAGAGAACAAGCCTTAGTTTCTAAAAGCCACGGCAAGAGTGTAGATTAGGGTTGAAACTTAGAAAAGAATAAAGGGGTGGGGGAGCCAGGCATGTGGATCTTTGTGAGTTGGAGGCTAGCCTGGTCTACATGTGAATTCTAAAACAGCCACAGCTAGATAGTGAGATCCTGTCTCAAAATAGCAAACAAACAAAAACCATCACTACCACCACCACCACGTCAATAACAAACAAACAAAAGAAAGAAAAGAAAAAAAGAGAAAAGAATAAGAAAGACCTGGGAAAACATGCCCTGCCCAAGACAAGTACAGATGAGGAGGAGTAGGGAGAGAGGGAGGGAGAGGAGAAAGAGAAAGGGAGAGAGAGAGAAAGGGAGAGAGAGAGAAAGAGAGAGAGAGAGAGAGAGAGAAGGGAAAGTTATGCTTTTATGAATAAGGCCTCAGAAAAGAGGGCCGGTGTCACAGCTACATGGCTGCAGCTTTACTTCTCCTGAATGTGTGGGAGAAAAAGTGTGCTGTCTCATTAAGTAATAATTATGCCTCTCATTTCTTTAGCAATACTGAAGGTGACTCACTCTTCAGGTGACTGACTGATCGGGTTAACTCTTGAGGGAAGAAGGGAGATTCCATTCTTTTGACCAGAAGGGAACTGCTGTCTCTTAGGTTCCCTCAAGAGCTTCAGCAAGAACATCAGAAGTAAACAGAGATACAGTGTAGAAAACTTGTGGCTGTTCTCAAATAAAAAGCTGATACAAAACAACGTATGCTTTCTTAAAAAACAAAAAACAAAAACACAAGAGAAATGAATGTTTACTGTAGAATAAAGCTATAACAGAATAAGTCTACAATAGAAAGATATGCCCAGAATTGGTCACTTTGGTTATTTTTAGAAATAGAAATGAAGATCTTTAAGACAGAAGAAGTAGGGGAAACTTGCTTTTCTGATTTCCTTTGAAGCTGCTACATGCTAATGAACACATACCGAAAATAGGAACAAATCCATGATAACCACTTGAAATATATGCATACAGTACACAAGATCAAAATGCACACACTATGAACGTGCACATAAAAAAAAGACACAAGCAGGGGTGTGACGATGAAGACTGTTTTTCCCTGTCTTACAAAAGTTACCACTTCAGTGAGAGTGGGGAGCAGGTTAGTGCAAGTAAGATGTCTGCTCAGAGCAGCAGGAAGGCCATGGCTGGCTTTACTGTTCAGAAGCAAGCAGGGCAAACTTCAAATGAATAGTGCAGATGTCCCGAGTACACAGGATAATGTTCACATGCCCTCAATGATATGGATGTGCTTGCGCGTGCGTGCGTCTCTCTCTCTCTCTCT